CACACACACACACACACACACACACACACACACACACACACACACACGAGAAGCTGAGAAGCAGTGACAGCCAGCCTGTAATCCCAGTCCTCACAAGGCAGACACAGGTTCTCAGGCAAGATGGCTAGTGTCACTGAAGGAAATTAGTGAGCCTCAGCTCTTGCCTCAACAAACAGAGTGAAAACTAACCCAAAAGAGACTCAGTGTCAATCTATGGCTGTCATATGTAACACATACCCACACTCACACCACACACATGTAAAGAAAGTATAAAACATAACCATAGCCACTGATACATTTTATACTTAACTCTTATGCTTACTTACGCTATTTGTTCCAAACTGGGGGAAAGAGACCATAAATTAAGAAAATGGAAAGAATAAACTATGATTACATTATTATCCACAAAATAAATGCTCTTAAAAATAAGACATTCTTTAGATCTTTAGTTGGTGGCAAAATATTGTGAGCAGTGATATTGTGTAAAATACCATTGTCTTTCTTCTGTCTTTCATGCTGTCATAATTTCATTAAAACCCTCTGTGGCCTGACAATGCATGTGTGGTTACAAGTTCTCTTCGTGGTCTGTGTGTTTATTCAGCTTTCATAATAAAATAAACACTATGAGTTAAATGTAAAGACAGGATTTTAATAGTAATGTATGAATGGAAAAATGTAAACAGCATAGTAACACTCCAGTTTTTAATCACTCTTATTTAGTTTTATAAACCCTAACCCATAGAAATGAGTCAGACACTTGAGCCCTAAGTTAACATCGGCACTATAAAAACACAGTGTAAGTCTGGAGGGTTATAATCCTGTCTTCATGCATCTAAGAACTTCATGTTCTGTGAAGTGCAGAGTTAACAACCTAGTCTGCTTCTTCACTCAATGAGAGGAGATCAAGAAAATGGCAACAAATGTGAGGTAGTCAAACTTACATTTTTGAAATAAAAATTATATTGATTTAATGTGGAGATACAATATTATACAGCTGTACAATTTTCAAAAAAACTGTTCGTGGATATTTAAACAAGCCAATATATGTACTTTGGAATTCATCTTCTCCTTATGCATAAGTGATGTCATCAACCCAGAGGCAATAGGGACTGCTGTCCTAAGATCACAGATGTCCTGCCCTATGACTTACAGGCTCTATCCTGAAATTTATAAAATATGTTCACATTCACAGTTCGTATCCAACAGGAGTCTGTCTCAAAACTGTGAACTAATAGTTTTACATTTTCATGAATTAAAAATTCTAAGCACAGTGAATCAATTAGAATCACATTATACTTTTGAACAACAGCCTTCTGTAAGGTAGACCATAAACCTTGTTAGAGGGAACAAATGAGAGCTCAACAGAACTGTTCAATTTCAACACTGCATGTATGCCCGCTTGCTACATGCTAAACAAAAAAAAAAAAAAAAAAAAAACATTCTCTACATTAACTTAGCTCTTTACATTGAAATGGAATTTTTTTCTATTAAATATACTTTAGCATATACCTATATAAGCTTAAATGGATTCCCATGATCAACATGTTTTAGCTGCATTTTAAGGCTGTGACACACATTTTGATTGTATATCAACATTTTCTAGTGGAAATATTACTTGTATTATCAGCGGAATCTACAAAGCAAAATCAGAGGTGGGAGCCAGGGAAGCAGAAGGTGATAAGGAATAAATAGTAGAAACAAACAATATAACTATGTGAAACTCTTAAATAAATGATTTTATGTTCTCCACTAATGAATATGTGGTTTCAAACATGCAATGCCACCGAGCACCAGATATACATAATCTGAGGCTATATAGAAGCTTATGCTTCTGAGGCTTCTCAATAAAATATACACTTAGTGTGTTAAGAGTTTTCTTTTTGAGGGCATATCAGAGAATTTCAAAGAGAGACAGCTGCACTTTTGTTTTCTAGCACTGTATTATCCAGGGCTAAAACCCAGAGCATAAAAGTAAGAATTGATCTTTTGTCTGTTTTAAGTGATCTCCCCACGGTCCAAATGCTCACTTGGCTGCCATGCGGAGGGCACTCTCTGCATCGTGGATGTTCTCCTCCAGTCGACGCTTGTCCTGCTCCAGCTGGGTAAGATGTCTATTGAGCTGACGTAGAGATTGATCTTTCCTTCTCAGCTCCATCTTTGCCTCGGAGAGACTCTGCAAGCAGACGGAAAACAGAGTTACTTGTCAGCCCTGATAATTAACTTCAATTTATGCCATAGGCTATTAGACAAAGAAGAATATATCCTGGATGAGAAGAGGACTTGGGTCATTATACATCAAGGTTTAACAAATTTCCTGCAAAATTTTTACATACTTGCTAATTAGAAATGAGAACTATACTGTTTGGGGGAAATATCTGGCTTCAGAATATAATTCTATTTTATTATATAAAGTAAAGGAAACCATATTATTACTAAAAAAAAAAATCTTACTACAGAAATCTCAAGCTATAAGTCCTTGCTTTCAATGATGAAAAAATAAAGAATTTATGGGACAAAGTGCATGAAGGTTAGATTCTATTAGACATGAATGAGAGCTCTCAGATGTCCCACCAAAGCAGATGGTTGGGGGCAGGAAATCAGGATGCTGGGGACATGGTGGGCTCATGCGTATTTACAACCGTCTGTGACAGACTGCTAAACACATGTCAGTAGACAAATATGACTTAGCAATAATTTTTACTTGCTTCCCAACAAATAACTTCCACATCAAGGGTAACTACATAAGAATGAACAGCATGTTTAGCTAACAAAATAGTGCTGGCATTCATAATGAGTTAGAGTTTATAAATGTTTTCCTTATCACAGAAGTAAAAACTGTGGATTCACAGTTCTTTAAACACCAATGTAGCACTGAAATTGCAGCATTCAATTATACAGTTTTTAGAGGGTAAGGTGAGAAAGTATTAGAATTGGAAACAATTTTAAGGAATATTTTCTAGACCAAGTTTAAAACTCTAGGCTGCAAAAAACTAAGGGGATCAGGTGATCTCCTTAACGCCAAAAATCTGATCACCCTTGTCCTATAAGATTTCTAAAATAAGCTTATCTAAATTTTTATAATTAATTTTGTTGAAAACGCAGCCAAACAACTGACCACACACACTTCTGTTTTACTCCTTTTGCTAGTTCAGGCACACATGAATATCCACAACTGTTGTTCACAGGCCCCATGAAGAAGCAGCAGTGTGCTACAGTTTTGTGTTTGAAACTCTCCCCTTAATATAGTCACAGTAATATCAGGTGTCTAAAAATGCTGCGAGCTTTTAAATTCAGAAATTCACTTCAGTCAAGGTACTACTACATGTACAAGAATCCAAAAATTACTAATGAGACAACAACAGTTACTCACTAGATACTTAAACTTATTTTCAGATATTATTAGTAATAGATCTTTAAGCACACTGCAAAGTTGATCAGTGAGTACTGCATGTCCATCAGATAGAAGAAGTTCCAGCAATATATCATATATTTTTAAAACCTAAAAAAATGAATTGATATTTCCCCTAAAAGAAATTATAAATGCTTAGAAGATATATGTGTTTGACATGATTTAAATATTACATAATGTATACATGTACTAAAACATCATGTTACTATGGAAGTTGTTCCCTTATTTTTATGTTAAAATTTAATTTATCTTAAATATTTGAAAAAGAATATTTCACTGAGAAAGTATCCAAACAATGTTTAATAACAAGAAAGAACAGATTTTTTTAAAATTCCAATTCTAGTAATTTTGTTAAGATACTTAAAAGCTTTGAAGTATTAAGAAATTATTTGTTTAAAAATAAAATTTATTTGTTTTAAACATAATTTCTGACATATCCCAAGCAATTAAAAGGGGCTACTTTTCTCCCACCAGTTAACATAAACTTCAACTCTTCTTTCAAAAGAAATGATGTGTGTACTAGTTCATTCACACTGCCATGCTTAGTAAGTCTTAAGATTGGAGTGTGCCCTTGTGATGGGGCTTCCAGGGCTTTAACACACAGTTCAGCCCTGCTCGCCCAACCTGAAACAGCTCATCGGTTTACTTCATTTCTAAACCACACTGTTCTGTTCAGCCAACTATGTTGTACATTTTACATATACTGATTTTATATATTCCACAAACTTACATACAAATGTGTTTCACATATACAATACACACACTACTTGTAAATTCTTAAGTTGTGTTTTTCTTTTCTCTTGCTCAGATTCACCTAATTAAAACCCATGATAAACTTTATGGACTCTAATATTTCTAGCTGAATGACTGAAACCAAGAGGGTGTGCCTCTGGGCAGCAAGGCAACAATGATAAGCAGCAGGTTAGCCACTAATTTCTCAACCAGGGTAGATTGTGAAAGTGTGATGTTCTGATATCCAAGAAACTGTTCAGGAGAGAATAGGATAAATCAAGTTTAATAACTCTGCTCCTAATTGTTCCCCCAATGCTCAACTCTAATTACTTGGAGAACTCTCCTGACTGTCACCTGATATTAAGTTGTTGGAGGCTGAGCCTGGAACAGCGAGATAATCAATAAACATTTAGTGGGGAGAAGAATGAAGATCCTGTTAAGCAGTGGGAACCTGCAGCACCCAAAGCCCTTCTGCTCATGAGAAAACCTGTGGGACAGCCATAGTGATTGCAAAGCAATAATCCGGAGCACTGTTTTTAGGCCTTGAGGCCTTTAGGCAACAGTACATTTGAGGGAAAAAGGTTAACACGGTCACCCTAATTACAGCCCACTTTCACATACTTCATATATAAGCGAAGACAAGCCAATTAGGTAGAAAGGAAGATAAGGGAAGTTTTATTTGTATACTAATTAAACCCCTGATGAAATTAAAGGAAAAACATACAGCTCTGTAATTGTGTCTGAGAAAGGTCACTCCAGGTTCAGTTATCAGAACGGCACAGCCTTGAGATACTTCACTTAATCCACACTACAGCCCTCATTTTGTACTCAGGTCTTAATATTTACAAAAAAAATAAAAAAGGAAAGAAAGAAAAGAAAACTCAAAGCCTGATACTGAACTTTATCTTTAAATAGAGGTGAATAATTTGAGCTGTTAGAAAGTTAATGCTATACATTATAATAAGAGTCTTTTAAAAGGTAAAAAATATTCTGCTGACCCAAGAACTCGTGTCAATATTTTCATCAAAGATTCTACTTTTCACTTTAAATCCAAAAATGCTCAAAAACAAAATTTAAAATGATATCCCATCTACCATATATCATTATGGTATTTCTTTTCAGTTAATACTCACCTTCATGTATATCTCTCATGATCCAAGAGGGGAAAAGACAAAAGCTTCCAGGAAACTACTATAACAAGAAGGTACTTACACCTATTTTCTTTAATTGATCATGAAAGCTATTTACTAGTAGGAAAAGCTAGCAAAGCACAGTATGAACACAAAGAAAATAGAGAATACAGAAGAGCTTAGGGATAGATACATGGTAGGAGATACTAAACACCCACATATTTTTAAATATTTTACTTATAGTTTCTAATGTTTCTGTGATACATGTTACTACTGAATAAAAACACAAATTATTTTAAGTCATTCATAATTTTATAGTACTAAATCTTTAAATGTTTATTAAGGCTAATAATTTATTTAATTGTGGCTATAAATTTAAATTATATTGCTTCCCCCTAGTAACATATTTTGTGTAGAAAAAAACAGATCTATTGAGATATAACTCACATACCATTCAATTAATTCTTTGTATAACTTATAAGGGATTAGTATGTTCATAGAGTTTTGTAGCCATCACCAATATGTCTTTTTTTATATTCTTCCTTTTAAGAAAAGGCTTTCAAAAACTGATGCCCTAAATATAGTATGTCTAATTATTTCAGCAAATGTTAATTTAAAGCCACACAAAATATGTAATGTTTATAATTCTTCTAAGTGTCTTAAAAATTTTTTTAATTTCTTCTGGGTGGTGGTGGTGCACATCTTTAATCCTAGCTCTTGGGAGGCAGAGACCGGCAGGTCTCTGAGTTTGAAAGCCAGCTTGGTCTACAGAGCAAGTTCCAGGGCAGCCAGGGCTACACAGAGAAACCATGTCTCAATCATAAAATGTATTTCCTGAATCTATATAGGTGTACAATACAAGAGTTAAAGTTATCTGTGTGGTGTACACATCTCTCTCTAATTCATATTTCCGCATGTCAAGAGACTCACCTACAATTGCTCCCATGAGGACACAATTTTGTACTTTAGACCATTATGCCACTAGGAAAACTGAACTCAAGGAGATACAACTTTTATAGATTTTCTTTCATCTAATGGGGAATATGTTTGGATTCACATTCCTGCAGACTAAAAACTAATGGCTATTCAATTTGGTATAAAAAAAGTCAGCCATTCAAGGTGAAAGCAAGAAGACAAACTTTAAACAATGTTTCCAAGGTCAGGGGAAAATTTAACAATTTTTAAAACTAAGTTTGCAGAGCTAAGATGCAGCTCAGCAACAGAGGGCCTGCCCTTCATACATGGGGTTACTGGTTTGATGTTCAGCACGGCAAACAACATTGACCAGTGATCACAGTAACACAATAAATACACTTATTGCTACCCAACTGTGACTTCTGAATAAACACTTCCGGCCAGCAGTAAACTGGACAAAACATTCCAAAGCTAGAAAAGGACCTCGTGCTATCTTCATCAAGCTAGAAAGTGATAACCAAAAAATTATGTTAATCAAGAATTAATTTGAGTTGCTACTGAGAAATCAAACTGCAAGTTCACAGAAGGCACAATGTTTAAATGATACAACCATTGAGCTCACTGCAGGGCATACATATGTAAAACCAGAACTCACTATAGTCTACAATTAGGTTGACAGTCTGTGTGAGATGAGCAATTAGGTAATTTATAATAAATATACAACAGAAAGAGATGGCACTATGTAGTATAATTAATTCCTGTGTTTTTCTTTCTTTATATCCTTATTTTCTAGAATTAACAGCAATGTTTTGCAATTTTAAGATAGATTCCCCCAAGGCCATTATCTTTTACCATTTTCTATTATTAGCTTCACATACTTTCGTGAAGGTAGACAACATACTTACAAAATGAAGCTGAAGATTGACAACTTCTCCATTTTTAGTGTGTAGTAGTTGGCAATAACTGTGTAGTGTGTATGTATATACA